AGTCCATCACAGGGCCACATAGAGACAATCGAGACAAACAACTATTCACTCTCTCACTCACACCTAGGGACAATTTATAGTTCCCAATAAGCCTAACATGCATATTTTTGGACTGTGGGAGGAAACCGGAGAACCCGGAGAAAACCCACGTATGCACAGAGAGAACATGCAAACTCCACCCAGAAAGGCCCATGGACCAGGGTTTGAACCAAGGACCTGCTCGCTGAGAGGCAGCAGCTCTACCAGTTGTGCCACTGTGCTGCCCAACACAACTAAAAAAGCCTTGTTGAAAATCTAAACAAATCCCATTTTAACCTCTATTAACACCTTTGCCATGCCCCTACATTTTGCACATTCACATGTAAAGTAGGGGTGTCCAAATTATTTCTGTGATATAAGAACAGGGCTCTCTGTCCTTGCAAACTCTTCTGTTTTGGCTTTTCCCTCTTAAGGGGTTGCTGTGGTGAGGCATCCTCATCCATTTCACTTTGTCCTCTGCATCCTGTGTCCTCACTCTAACTACCTCCATATTCTCTCTAACTGCATCCACATATTTGTTATTTGACATTTTTCTTTGTCTTTATCCTGGGAGCTGCATTTCTAACATTCTTCTACCAATATACCAACTTTCCCTCCTCTGGACATGTCCAAACCATCTCAGTCTGGCCTCTCTAAGTTTATCTCCAAGTTGTTCAACCTGTGCTGTACATCTGATGATCTCATTCCTAATTTATCCACCCTTGTCACTCCTAAGGAGAAGTTCAACATCCTCATTTCTGCCACTTCCAGTTCTTTTTCTTGTCAACACTGTCTTGTAAACTTTTCATTTGACCTCTGCTGCAACTCTTTTGTCACAAATCACTCCTGAAACTTTTTTCCATCCACTCGATCCTGCCTGGATTCTCTTTTTCACCTCTTTACCACATTCCCCATTTTCTTGGATAGTTGACCCTAAGTACTTGAAGTCCTGCACCTTTGTGACTTCTGCTCCTTGTAGCCTCACAGATCCACCTGCCTTCCTCTCATTCACACACATGTACTCCGTCTTACTATGGTTGACTTTCATTCCTTGTCTTTCAAGTGTATATCTCCCTCCACTTCTCTAAGTTCTATTTCACTTGTTCCCTGTTCTCACCACAGATCACAATGTCATCTGCAGACATCATGGTCCACAAGGATTCCTGTCCGTCTGTCACCAGATCAAACAAGAAGGGGCTCAGAGCTGATCCTTGGTGCAATGCCACCTCCACCTTGAAGCTATTTGTTACTCCTACAGTACCTCTCACTACTGTACTGCTGTCCTCATACATTTCATGTACCAGTCTAGCATACTTCTCTGCAACTCCAGATTTCCTCAGGTAATACCACACCTCCTCCCTCAGCACCCTGTCATGTTTTTTCTAAATCATCAGACTCAATGAAGTTCTTTCTGACCCTCTCTGTACTTTTTTCTTGGGCACCTGTAGATGAGTGGTTAGAGCAGTTGGCCTCTAATGGGAGAGTTGGGGGTTTGATTCCACCAGCAGTCACGTGTTAAAGTGTCCCTGGGTAAGACATTGAACCACTCATTGCCTCTGATGCGTGTCCCATTGGTGTATGAATGTGATCTAAAGCACTGATTCATCTCTACAGATTCAGATTAACTTTGTGGAGATCTTGTAGAGTGCTATGTGGATGGGTAAATGAGGGCGCAAGTTCTATTGTAAAGCACTTTGAGTATCTTGACTATATAGAAAAACACTATGCAAGTACAGTCCATTTACGGTACTTTTCCATCAGCATCTTAAAGGCAAAGAGAGCATCTGGGGTGCTCTTTCTCAGCATGAAACCATACTGCTGCTCACAGTCGCCTCTTGTCTAAGTCTAGCTTCCACAACTCTCTCCCAGATCTTTGTTTACTGGCTCATCAACCTAATTCTATTGTAGTTGCTAGAACACTGTACATCACCCTTAGTCTTAAAAAAGGACACCAGCACACTTCTCTATTCCTCAGGCATTTTCTGGCCCTCAAATATGCCATTGAATATTTGACTTAAAAAACTCTGTCGCATTTGGTAGATCTGTCACCTCCCAGTGAGAAGGTTGCTGTATCGAATCCCAGCTAGGAGCCTTCCTTAGTGGTGTTTGCATGTTCTCTCCATGCATGTGTGGGTTTTCTCCTGGTACTCTGGCTTCCTCCCACAGATGAAAAACATGTATGTTAGGCTAAATGGTAAATCTAAATTGTCCAAAAGGTGTAAATGCGAGTGTGAATGGTTTGTCTTGTTTGTGTCTATGTGTTCCTGTGATGGACTTCCGACCTGTTTTGGGTAATTAATACAGAACAGTCATTTCTGTTTGCTAAATGAACTATAAGCAGTCGATGAGCGCACATCTCCACCTCCCTAGGGTCACTCATGCAATAACATCTTGTGCACAGACAAAAATCCTTTAAAAAAATTTCCTGGATCCAGATGAGGATCCAGATCACCAAAATGTAATAATTTGTTCTTTGTGAATACCTGAATATTTCATGAAATTTTCATAAAAACCCGTTCATAACTTTTTGAGTAATCTTGTGAACAGAGACAAACAGACGCTACCGAAAACAACCTGTTTACTGGAGGTTACAAGTGGTACGCAAATGTTAAACCTTATTAGAAAACCTTATTTTTTCTGGAGCAAGATATTAACTGGGTATGAGTTCCACTGTGGAGAAGACCAGAGGTGTGAGTGATGGATTGTGAGTGGAGGGAATAATTTAAACCCCCCCCCCCCCCCCACCAACTCTCGCACAGGTCTCTCTTGTAAATGAGTCCTCCTCACTCAGTGAGACTAACCTGTATAAATAAAAGTTGAATAAACAGTGATGGCTGGACATGGGCACCAGTGACCCCCGTGACCTGAAAAGGAAGAATGGATGAAGAACCTCACTGCCATCTCCATTACCATTCCAATCTTTAACAAGCCTAACTTGCTGTACATCCTTTCCAGCCTGATCCCTCTGTCTCGCCAATCAGTACAAGTCCTTCTCACCCTCTTTAGTGTCCAGCCTCCCATACAACTCATCACATGTCTTCTGCTTTGCCTTAGCTACCTCCCTCTTTATTCTACGTTGCATCTCCTTTATGATCCCGTCTACTCTCTTCAGTCCTTTCACTGTCATATTACTTCTTGGCAAACCTCTTTCTCTGAGTAGCTTTCTGCACTTCACTATTCAACCACCAGGCTTCCTTATCAGTCATTCTCTGTCCAGATGACACACCAACTACCTTCCTACCGGTTCTCCAATTACTGTTGCTGTAGAAACCCAATCATCTGGAAGTTCTTTACCATCCAGAGTCTTTAACAGCTCCTCTCTGAACTCTTCACAACATTTTTTCCTCAGATTCCACCATTTAGTCTTCTGCTCTGATTTTACTCTTTTTCTCTTCCTCACAACAACAGCCATTGTACACACAACCATCCAATACTGTCTGGCCATGCTCTCCCCTGCCACAACCTCACAGTCCCTAATCTCCCTAAGGTTTCCTCTCCTACACAGAATGTAGTCTACATGCATACTCCTTCCTCCAATCTTCCAGGTAACTATGTTCCTCCCTCTTTTGGAAATAAGTGTTGACTACAACCATTCATTTCCATGTTATTGGCAAAATCCACCATCATCTGCCCTTCCTGGTTTCTTTCCTTGACACCAAACCTACCCATCACTTCCTCATCCCCTCTGTTTCTTTCACCAGCATGCCCATTCAGGTCTGCTCCAATCACCACTCTCTCCTCCCTGGGAATACTCTCTATCACTTCATCCAGATCCTTCCCTAAATGTATTTTTCTCATCTACATCCCATCCAACTTGTTGGGCAAAACCACTGACAACATTAAGCATCAGACCTTCTACTTCTACCTTCAGACACATCACCCTGACACTTTTTTCTACCTGTACTACATTGATTGTCAACTCCTCCTTCTGGACAACCCCTACTTAATTTCTCTTTCTATCCACATCGTGGTAAAACAATGTAAACCCTGCTCTAATGCTGTGAGCCTTGCTGCCCTTCCACTTGTGCCCCGCATCTTACACAGTGACTGCTAGACATGGGCAACCAACTACCCCCGCGACCCGGAAAGGAAAAAGCTGGTAAAGATAATCGATGGCTGGATGTCTGCTTGTCCAAAAGTCTTGAGACTTTGGTCAGTGACTACAATTATGAATGGACAACAAACCTTTTTAAGGAACTGGAAAACACCCCAAGCTGTTTTATCTTATTGTTGATGTCTTATGACAAGAAAAAATAATTAAGTCTGTGTGCCACAATTTGTTAGAAGCTTAAATGCTAAATGCAATGCATATAAGGTCTTGCTGATGTCACACATGTTTGTATAAAGATGTATCAACTTAATGGGCCCCATGTTGTTGAGAAATAGCTCAAACAATACCCCCTGTAACTTTAAATGAAGAGTTAAGAGGAAGGTATAGAGGTGAGGGAAACACTAGAAAATGGGATTTGCATTTATTTTGGGCAGCTAAAAGTTTTTTTTGTTTGTTTGTTTTTGTGCAAAGAATCAAACTATTTTGCTCAGCACTTCATTACTGTTTGCTTCATTTGTGTCTATATATGCCACATCAGGCCCATACAGAGATACAAAACCCCAGTAGAGCAAAACTCTGTACTGTAATGACCTGTAAATATTTAGCCCTATAAAAAATGAAAACCCTCCATTTTAGTTTGTGTAAGATATTCTTTTATTCTTTTCAGCCGGCACACAAGTGCCCTAGAAGGCAAGCAAAGTGATATAGGTAGATTTCTCATTGAGGTATCACCATCGATTGTTCTGTGAGAGCTGAAATGCCCACCTGAAGACAGATCGGTTTAGTTCACATCTTCTACTGTTAACAAGAAGCTTGAGGTGGTTTTTGCTCAATCTCAGACAATAAAGCTGTGGTGGAGAGAGCTACAAGGCAGCTGATGACTGTAAAGTGATCCTAATTGTTTGATGATGGATGCAGGGAGGACACTTACTGATGCTGACACTTGAGATAAGGCTTCACATTCTTGTAGTCGACCCGCCACTGTGTCCACCCCGGGCAATGGCGCTGCTCCAGGCAAAAAAAAACAATGGAGATTGTCATAAAAACATACCGATATGAAACTAAATAAAAATGTTGATTTTGAACTTACAGGAGATGTCAGGGACAGCTTGTTCAGGTGCGTGAGGCCTGTGCTCCTCCTCAGATCGGCTGTTTGATAGAGTGTCTCCCTGCAGCCTAGAAACAACACGTAACACGTACACAACATGGTACATACAAACAAGGAGCTACATATGCTCGCTGAAAGTCAGACAACAATAAAACAGGCACATCTTTGTCAGGCTGAGGTGAAGAGACAAAAAGGAAATGTTCAACAAGTTTCTAATCTTCTGCTGAATGTGGGCCAGTGACAAACAGAGAGGTCAGTTTGAGGACATCAGTGCAATCTTTTACAGTAAATACTTAGCGGAAAACTATAGTAATAAATACAAAACAGTCATTTCTATTTGCTAAATGAACTATAAGCAGTCGATGAGCGCACATCTCCACCTCCCTAGGGTCACTCATACAATAACATCTTGTGCACAGACAAAAATCTTTTAAAAAAAATTCCTGGATCCAGATGAGGATCCAGATCAACAAAATTTCATAATTTGTTCTTTGTGAATACCTCAATATTTCTTGAAATTTTCATAAAAACTCGTTCATAACTTTTTGAGTAATCTTGTGAACAGAGACAAACAGACGCTACCGAAAACAACCTGTTTGCCGGAGGTTACAAGTGGTACGCAGATGTCCCCCATTGCTTAGGCACTTGAATAGTGAATGTTTGTAGTTTTCGAGATGAGTGCTTATTTTTTGGGACTGGAATTGAACAGGGAATGGAAGCAAACCTTATTTTTTTCTGGAGCAAGCTATTAACTGGGTAGGAGTTCCACTGTGGAGAAGACCAGAGGTGTGAGTGATGGATAGTGAGTGGAGGGAGTAATTTAATCCAACACCAGGCACAATGGCCAAGCCAGGGGGTGGCCAATGGTGGCCTTGGTCAAGATAGATTAATCTTCATCTACCACAGTCATTTGAAGAAACTACTTTTAAGCAATATACAAACCAGAAAGCATGATTCCCTCAACTGCCTGGGGTGACCGGTTTATACCCCCCTTCCCCACACACAGTGTGCTCACAGCATGTATTTCCAATTCCCCTTTTTGCTCTCTGATGGGAGACAAAGACATATTGAAACTAACCATGTATTAAAAAATTGTAAATCATCTAACAAATGAGCTTTTGCTCCGGTCTTTTGCCGCATGCCATTTTCATGTCATCAGTGCAATCATTAGTTGAAGACAAAGAAAAGTAATCTCTTTGTTTTTATGGTGCCACTACTTTCCCAGCCATAGAGTCTCCTGCTCTCTACCTCTATAATAACAGCAAAGAACTTTTTCCAAATGTATTTTATTTCTTTCCCTTTCTTTATACATCCATCTCCTTGTCTTTCTTTCTTTTAAATGATCTTTATAAAGCCATTAAATGTACCCAAGATGGCTATCACAAGGCCTTTTCATTCTGAACAAAAGCTGCTCCGTAGCCGCAGGTCTTGACTACCATCCCCTCGGTGCATTCCTGACATGAAGGCAGTTAATTTAATGAGAACTACGAGCCCGAGAAGGAGGGTAGCATAGATTTATTCCCAGGACCTCAAGAATGTAAGATCTGCAGTGCGTCTGTGAACAGTGGACCTTTTAAACGAACTGCTCAGGAGCATTAAAGAGGTGGATGCAACGTTGGTGCAACCACAACTAAAGAAGCAGCCACAACAGGCCTCACCGCCCTTTACCCCCGGAAAAAAACAGCGCAAAGACACGCTGCATGGCGGCAACTGGTTCGGTCTCGTAGGCAGCCAGATAGACGGCACAGTACATGTGTTTCAGCTCACAGAAATTACTGGCCTCTGAGAGCTCATAGGTAGGAGGGGGGAAAAGGACTGAATGCTAATGTGTTTGCCTAAAGGGCGATGGGTACATGAGGAATGCTTGTCCAACTTGGGCCAGAGTTCAAGACAGAGTGAAGGAACCCTTTCCTGTCTGTGGGAGACACAAACAACTTTTTGTGCTACATAAAAAACACAAATATGGTTACAAATGTTATCCTCAGATAAATAGTGTTATTTACTTACTTTTCATGTACATACATTGCTACATACATATATCGCTATATACATTCTACATCGCTTTACAACCTAGCTGTTTTTGTTTTGTTTCATTAATACAATTTTCTTTCATTTGTTCTTAATTTGTATGCTTTCTTTCATGTCTACCGTCGTCTTCACTCTGTTAAAATCAGGTCTCTCTTGTAAATGAGTCCCTGAGGCTCAATGGGACTAACGTGTTTAAACAAAGGTTGAATTAATATATATAAATGTTTCTGTTCAGCACCCTGAGATGACTTCTGTTGTGACTTGGTGCTATAAAAATAAACTAATATTTTGTGTAGTGCTTGCTGAAAGTAATGCCCAAGGTTTTCATTAACAATTTTACCAGTTACTATTTGAAGTTAACTCTGTCTGTTAGCAAAATATCTTATTAACTTGATGGGCAGGTTTTAATGAAACTTTCAGGAAGTAGTCATTGGATATACATCTATACCAGATTAACTTTTGGAACCCGACATGTTTCAGCATGAAACAAGAAACACTTCAGTGATAAAACTTCTGCACACATCAGAGCAGTTCATTGTGATAATAAATGGTAATTGGACTGTACTTACATAGCACCTTTGTATCTTGTCAAGATACTCAAAGTGCTGTACACTACAGTCTGGGCCCTCATTTACCCATTCATACAGCACTCTACTAGATCTATACAAAGACTAATCAGCACTTTATCAGATTCATACAATGATGGGACACACATGGGAGGCAATGAGGGGTTCAGTGTCTTGCCCAGGGACACTTCGGCATGTGATTTCTGATGGAATCGAACCCCCAACTATTGCATTGGAGGACGACTGCTCTAACCACTCAGCAACAGCCGCCCCAAGTGACTGCAGGATTGTCATTCCAGATAATTGCTTCTAGTTTAGGCCTCACAAGCTGTTCAAACGCTATCTACAACAGGTAAGACAATAAATGTTAAAATCCTTAAAACACAAATATTTAGCATACAATCCACCGCATTTTTTTTTTTTTTTTTCATTTAGCCTTTATTTATCCAGGTTAGTCTCATTGAGCCACGAGAACTCATTTTCAAGAGAGACCTGTTTAGGGAGCACATGGTGGGGGTTAAGGGCCTTGCTCATGGGCCCAAAGTGGGGCGAATGAGGGTGGGGGCAAGTGTGGGTGTTTCACCTACCCCACCCACAATTTTGATGTTGTCGGGGCCGGGGCGTGAACCGGCGATCTTCGGATCACAAGCCCACCTCTCTAACCTCTGCGCCACCACTCCCCAATCCACCGCAATCCACCGCATTTCATCAAGTGCTGTGATTTACAGGTGCCTCATCCAAGTTTCAGATCTCATGGTTAAACTCCGTCACTATACAAACACAGGTAGGTTTTCTGAGAGGCAAATTGAAGATATGTCTGGGTCATGTTTAGATTTTCTAGAAAATATATTTAAAACAGAGATGACGCATAAAGTTATCCAAACTGCTTTGTTCACCATATAACCTGTAAGAACCTCCAAGCTTCTTTTGCAGCTTACTGATCCTTTGTAGCAACTAAATATAACAAAATTGGATGTCAGGTTATAGAGAGCAAAGGTATTTCTGACATTTCAGAGACAAAAAAATCCTCATAAGAGCCTAAAACAACTCCTGATTAGAGATGCTGCTTCACTCTGCCACTCCTGGAACGAGGGTATAAACAGTTTTCTTAGAAACATTGGGTAAATAAACTGTCAACAAAAGGAATCCCGCAATACCACGCATCCTTCAGCAGCATCCCACAGCCCGTGTGTGGACCAACACCAACACTGATAAGCTGCAGGAATGAAAGAAGAAACAAATCCCAAACAGTAGAGGTTGTAAAGGCAGAAGCATGCCTGGCGTCTGATGAAGATACCCGCTTATCTCTGACTGGCATCAAGAAAGAACGTTGCCCATACCTGCCTGTCGAATCCCTTAGAAATATAAACCGACGCTGGATTATGAATTTAAGCAGAAAACAGAGGAAAGCGATAAAAGACAAAAATGGGGACAATAAAAAAGTTTATCCATGGAAGAATCATGATAACACTGTGGACATTACATTAATCTTTGCTACACGTGATTCTAAGGAAGAAAGAGTGGAGAATATGCGCCCATAAACTGTGACGTTTAGTTGTAGTTTAATGCACACACACAAACAGAGTGTCAGACAGGAGAAGATGGAATCATTTACCTGGCACACCTAGAACAGATGTTGAGTGTAACTTTGGCCTGTGGTTCCGGCTGATAGGCGCTGCGTCCCTGGCTGAACTTGCAGCCGGATGGAGCCAGCCTCGTCACACCCTCCATCCGCAGGTCATCTAGATCCTCTGAGGGCACAGGGTGCAGCGCATGGAGACAGGACAGCAAAACAAACCAAGAGACTGAATGAGCAGCTGTTATTTATACATCAATGTATGACTTGCTATTACATTAACAAGTAGAGCTGTTCCATTTGGGTTGAGAATGTAGAAATAAAAACTTTAACTACGCTAATATGATTAGTCAGAAGAGAAATGGTAACTTGGAACAGCTAATTATGACCAAAGAGAATTAGTTTGTCTCAGGCTAACAAATAAAAAAGCCTCGTCAGTTAAGAGTACAGGGTCATCTTCAGGACAGACTCACATCACATGCAGCGTTGTGCGTGCCTGCCTTTCTGCGTGCCTCGTTATTTAAAACCAACACTGATACTGTTTTTTCTTTGTGCTCATATTGCCCCTGGTTTGAAGGAGAGAGAAAAGGGGTCTCACACCTTGCAAGAGGAGAATGCATGACTAATCACCTGGATTAGATTGAATGACACTTACTCATGAGAACTTTCCTCCCTCCATCCATCAGGGTGGCACAGACCCAAAAGCAAAGTCAGACGAGAGGAAATAAGTCTGAAGATACGGCAGCTCAACATGGCACTTCAGAGTAGTTTGTGAGTGTTATCATGATACTGTCATACTAAAAACTAGATACTTTCAAAAACTGTGTCAGCTTGAAGCATGGGAAAAAGAACAAATATTATAAATCATGTTCACATTCATATAAGCTGCAGTTACAACACAACAATGTGCTCATCTAAGCTCTTGTTGGTCTTTTAATTGGTGGAATCACACAAATAAATGGACATATGTGCATGAGAGCACTGACCCAGTTAGAAACAAAAACTTTGATGTTGGGATCCAGTCACGGACACAGAATTTGTCTGTGCAAACTGCAAGTTGGTGCAATTGCTTTGCACTGTTGTCTTGCACAAAGAAGGTTGTAGGTCTGATACCCAGCTGTGGGTTTTTCTGTGTGGAGTTTACATGTTCTCCCTGTGCATGTGTGGATTTTCTCTGGGTACTTTGGTTTCCTCCCACAGAGTAAAGGAGATACAGGTTAAGTTAATCAGACTCTACTTCCTCAGGCAGCTGAGGTGAGCTGGCCTGGGAAGCACAGTCCTCACCTCCTTCTACAGGTGTGCAGTGGAGAGCATCCTGTGCTCCAGCATCAACGTGTGGCATGGAGGCTGCACAGCTGCAGTAAGAAAAGCTTTGCAGAGAGTAGTGAAGGCTGCACAGAAGACTGTTGGAGTCAGTCTCTGCACCATCACAGACATCTACACCTCTAGATGCAGGAAAAGGGTCGCCTGCATCATGAAGGACCCCACTCACCCAGCACACACACTTTTTGCCCTGCGCCGCACCAGTGTTGCCAGGTGAGAAATGTAGGATTATCGTACTAGATACATAAAATTATCGTATTTTGAGGGAAATTATCGTACACCCGTCATAACCAAAATAACAAATCGATTTATGCACTATAGTAGTGATGGGTCCGCTTCAAGACCAGCTCTGCTTCTTCTTTTCTTTTCCTCACTCATGGGGCAGGCGCAGCGGACTATTCAGCCAATCACGGCCCTTGTTCTGAGACAAACGCATACACGTCACTCGTAAGTCACATTTAGAAAAGCCCGATTGGCTGAAATTTCCAGTTGATGACAACCGATTACAACCACACATTCACAGAATGGTCAAATTATCATATATTTGACCTTTTTTGGGATTACTGAATGTACATCGTACAGAGGACAAAATTGTCGTACAAATACGATAATTATCGTACACCAGGCAACACTGAGCCGCACACACAGTACTGACGTCATAAAGCGCTCTTAAAGTGACAGTTTTTAACATAATACGTTATTAGAAAACTCTTCTAGCATAACCAAAATGAGGTGTTCTTCAGTGTTAATTAGGATTTGGTGAAATTTCAAACATGATAATTAAAAATGAAAGCATATTATCTAAAGTTGTTACACAGACAATAAATGGATATTTTTACAACCTCTAACCTCTGAGCAGACACGTTATGCCCCCCCCCCCCAGTTTTCTCCAGGCCCCCCCCCCCCCCCATGTGGGTCAGACCCCACAAGTTGGGAATCACTGGTGTAGCATATATCTTAGTTTATATCACAGATCTTTATTCACCATTTCTCACATTATATTTTTGCTATTCTTGGATGTAACTGGGACCCTGTGTTCACAATTTCATTCCACCTCATGTGCCACATGGGATGCGAATGACAATAAAGAACCTTGACTAGAATCTCCTTGTGCTCTCTACAATCTGTTCCTCGCCTTCCACCACTCGTCTCCTTGTACAAACCCTCCTGGAACCACTTGGACCACTCACCCCTGCATCAAACACCTAAACTCCAGAATTAAGGATCTCAACTGGACATTAAACTCCCTGAGATTCACCGAACACCTAATAACACTGCTGCTTGCTGTCCAAGGTTCCAGTCCATCCATGCCGAGTCTTCGCATCGTTTCATGCTTTCACCATTTGTAAATTAACACTGATAACTTTCACTGGTTCTTGGGTATTTGCTAAAAACCTTACACTTTCATTGAAGCCCGATGTGATGTTAGCATTTCAGTGTGATGTCACTGTTTAGAAAACTCAAACACTTCTTTGATCAATGTGATGCAACAACGAGCAATATAATTCTGCATCCCAGTGATGGCAGCTATTTCATCTTTGCATCTGCACCAGATGCAAAGAAACGAAAGATTTAGCTCGCACTTGTGCGTTTTCAGAAAGTCCCACAGGTTTCAAAACCTATTTAAGTTCCAACCGTTCATCCAGGAAGCAGTAAATCCAACTTTGAACTTTCTACCTGAGAAAAGGAGGTGACGGATGTCCATACACGACAGGCTATCTCCAGGAACTCTTTTTTTAAGTCCCTAGAGACAAATCAAAACTGGAGTTTGGGGGGTATAATAATAATAATAATAATAATGTCATCACAATGTCAGCACTGTATGTTTCCATACAATGGCGAAATTAGTCTCTGCATTTAACCCATCCACCACCAGGTGGTGCAGTGGGCAGCTATTGAAAGCGCCCGGGGGACATTTTGGGGATGAGACGTGCTGCCCAGAGACGCCACGTGATGTGCAGTGACTGGGGATCGAACCTGGGACTTTCGGGTCCCAAGCCGGCTGCCCTGCCTCTACACCATCTCGGCCCTCAAGGACTTCATTTGACTTGCACATAATATTTGAAGCATGCACAGTGTCCTGAACATGACACCAGAGATTTTTGTGGTCTCAGGCGAACAGAAAAAAAATGAGTGCCAATATGGCTCATGTGCTGTCAACACACTTTAATGCCCCTTTTCCACAGGTCCTGCTCGGCTCAGCACTCATTGGGCCTTATTGGGCCAGTACAAGTCGGACCACTTCATTTTCCATTTCCCCAGTGCGCCTTTAGTGGGCAGATCATTATTATAAATGCACGGACACCTCTTTAAAAACCTTCTCGTTATGTGTCGCTCCATCTAGCTCGCTCTGAACTTTTTCATCGGCCAGTAAACACAAAAAAACCCACCTGAACTTCAGCATTTGATCACAGTTGTGACATTATTGTTTGTTTATACCTTCAAAATACTCCAAAATAAGCTACTCCGTATTAGAGTTGTTTCTAATGGCGGGTTAAAAAAGAAAATGGCGGATCGGGTTGCGGTAGAAGTTTCTGAAACTCAGCCCTCCGACTAATGACCCTGCCCCCTTACCAATCAGTAACCGACAGTGTGCTGACGTCACATTTTACGGTCCTGCTTGGCCTCAATGGAACCACAGAGAAGTAGGTACTGAAAAAAAACAGGCCGGTTCCACGAAGAAGGCCCAATGAAAAAGTACACGGAACCGGCCTGAGCAGGGTAAAGTGGGGCCAAGGAGGAACTGTGGAAAAATGGGCATTAGAACTCACAACCAAGGATGGAATTGTTGCTTTTCAGGTCAAATTACTGCTAAAGGAAAAGCAAATTGGGTTGAATTTGATGTGGAAAACTTTTAAAAGTTGTCTTGGTTACACATAACACTTGTAACAGTAGTTTGGTGTTTACACGTTAAATGCTTTGTGTAAACTAGACTTAAAGCAGGATTCAAGTCTTTATGTGCACATTCCCAAATCCATGTTCTTATCAAAGACTGCCAGCAATCTGTGTTTGGTTTGAATAAGCGTTCTTTTCCTCCGTTCTCCACGCTCACAACAGAGTTCAGTATGTCTCCAATAACACCACGGTAAGTTTACAGTGCGTCTCCCCCGAGACCAGTTTACCACGAGAGAATGTCTAGACACAACAACAAACGTCTGTCCACACTCGCCCGTTCGTCACATTTTCACTCCTTGGGCATCGGGGCAGCCATGCGTGCTCCCTCTGTAAAGACAGATAAATAAAATGCACGGAGGAGGTGAGCAGAAAGGGGGGGTGGGAATGGGAACTATTCAAGCGATGCAATCCCCAACAAAAGGCCCCGGAGTTGAGGAATTCCGTGCCGCAATCACTCACTCACAAGAGGAGCGCGCAGATAAAGCGTCTCTCCTCTCAGAGTTTCCATCTAATTTGACGTTGTTTGAACAGCGACGGACTGACTGGCTCTTCGCGGAGCTACAAAACAGAGCTGAAGTCATAATTTGAGCCACAAATAACAATGTACACCTTCGAGGTTGCGTTGACAGAAATGAGTGTGTGTAGGGTGGAATCATCCAAAGGGCCGCTGCACACGTGGAGACGCGCTCGTACACATATCGGCGTCCAATCCGCTGCATTTCACCCAGCGCTGTGATTTACGGCGCCTCATCCAAGTGAACTTTCCATTCTTTCATGAGCAGCGGCGACACGTAACCTCCAAACACTGGGCTCTAATTAATAGTTTGTATGCACCAAACGCTCCACACACACAGGGGCCCACGTGTGCGCAGCTACTCAGACGTGCCGATTTAAAAAAAAAAAAAAAAAAAAGCAACACATGCAGTGACAATTGCAGACCTCACACTCTTTGCTGCC